TCCTTCCACCTCAGCCTTCCGAGTAGCCGGAATTACAGGCATGCGCTACCACGCCCAGCTCAGAATTGCTCAGGCAATTCTGCTTCAGTCTGCCAAGTAGTTGCGACTATAGGCGTGCACCACCACACTTGGCTAATCTTTTTTTTTTTATTGTAGAAATGAGGTCTTGCCAAGTTGCCCATGCAGGTCTCAAACCCCAAGATCAGGCAATCCTCTCACCTCAGCCTCCCAAAGTGCTGGGGTCACAGCTCCAGCGAATTTATTTTTATTTTTGTAGACTTAAGGTCTTGCCAAGGTGCCCAGGTTGGTCTTGAACTCCTGGGCTCAGGCATTTCTCCCAAAGAGCTAGGATTTCAGGGGTGAGCCACCACGCCCAGTTGGTTTTCTCTATTTTATTTTTATTTATTTTATTTTTGAGTTGGAGTCTTACTCTGTTGCCCAGGCTGGAGTGCAGTGGCATGCTTACAGCCACTGCGGCCTCCACCTGCTGGGCTCAGGTGATCTTTCCGACTCAGCCTTCCAAGCAGCTGGAACTACAGTCACGTGGCACCACGCCTGGCTAATTTTTAAATTTATTGTAGAGATGAGGTCTCACCAAGTTGCCTTAGGCTGGTCTCAAACCCGTGGGTTCAGGCAATACTCTCACCTCCCAAAGTTCCGGGATTATAGGCGTCAGCCACCATCCCCGGCCGGTTTTCTCTACTTAAGATAGTGCTCTTCACATCCTGGTAGCTAGATGTTTGTGACCTCTGTGCTAGCCCTCAGGATTTCTAGAAGCAGAAAATACAAGCCAAGGATATGCCTGTCTTTGAGGCTTTCCATGCGGCTGCCTCCCACAGGGCCACATCACCTGCTGTCCCTCTGCCCACCTCACCAGCCCTGCCCTGTGCTCCCTTTCTAATCAAGGGCTAAGGGACAGGATGGAAGGTGTCCCAGAGAGAACACGAAGTCTGGAGCCAGCCAGTCTGGAGGCCTCGGGCCCCATCTACCCCCTCCCTGTGAACTCTGCAGTGTCACTTCTCTGGGCCTTGGCTTCCTTTTCAGCGAATGGGAAAACGAACAGCACCTACCCCAGTAACCCGTGAATGCTGAACTAGATAAAAAGAAAAGCATCTGTGAATGTGGATTCTAAGATTCCTGCATTTGGAGCCGAGGAAGCAGAATGCACAAAGACCTCCTAGTGGGAGAAAATGGGGGCATTCACCAAGGGATGAAAAGGAGGAGGCTGGTGCCCAGCAGGGCATGGTGAGGAGGCGGTCTCATCTGATGAAAGGGGGAGCCGCTGGAGGGTTAAGGCACAGGGATGTAGGGGGAGGGGTGATTCGACTAGACCTGGAATCCGAGGGCTGGAGGGAAGTGGGGGGCAGGAACTACAAGGTGTCTGGCCTCGTAGGCACAAAAGGAGGGTGGCATCCCTTGGAACACTAGAGCAGGACCAGAAATGAGGTCTTGTCTTCTAGATATAAAAGATGCCAAGTGGGCAGACGGTACATTGGTTTGGTCGAGGAGATGTAACAAACAGCACTAAGGCAAGACAGGAGGTGCTAAGGGGTGGGGGGTGGGGTGTCAATGCAAAGGCTGGGGTGTCCAGAGATGGGAGAGGTCACTTCCAGTGGGGTGAGGGCAATCAGAGAAGGCTGCGTGTTGGAGGGGTAACAGGGGCCATGAATGAGGGGGCTGGAGTCAGGTATTCAGAACAAGAGATGAGAATTTGAGGGGAAGGCCCTGGACAAAGACAGAGAAGGGCCTGGTCACCGGTCAGGGTCTCAAGCCTGGGCCCCCAGCCCCTCTGCTCCCCGACTAAGGACTCACGAGAAGCTGCTTTTTCTGCACATGCTCCTCCATCTTCAGCTTCAAGCTCTCCTTCCGCTGCTGTCTGGGCAGCTTCTCCACCTCGTTCTTCACCTGCTCCGAGACAGCAGACAGCGGCAGGGTCAGGGCATGTCCTCATGCTGCCTGGGCCTCCACCCCACTCTCCACAGAGCCCCTCTGACCAGGCAGCACCCACAGGCCTCCCCCTATCTGCCACCTTGCTCTAGCGCCTGGACTCCCCCAGAGTGGATGGGTGCTATTTGGGGCTACTTAGTATCCAGGCCCTCAGCTTCCTTCAGGGTGGTGTTTCTCAGTCATTAAAAAAATGTACACTGTGCTGGGTGCAGCAGCTCACACCTATAATCTCAGCACTTTGGGAGGTCAAGGCAGGAGGACTGCTTGAGGCCAGAAGTTCAAGACCAGACTGGGCAACAGAGCGAGACCTCATCTCTACAAAAAAATTTAAAAATTAGCCGGATATGGTGGCACACGCCTGTAAGTCCCAGTTACTCAGGAGGCTGAGGCAGGAGGATCGCTTAAACCCAAAAAGTCAAGGCTGCAGTGGCTATGATCATGTCACTACACTCCAGCTTGGGCAACAGAGCCAGACCCTATCTCTTTTTTTTTTTTGAGTTGGAGTCTCACTCTGTTGCCCAGGCTGGAGGGCAGTGGCACACTCCCAGCCACCGCAGCCTCGACCTGCTGGGCTCCGGCAATCCTTCCGCCTCAGCCTTCCAAGTAGCTGGAACTACAGGCGTGCACTACCACGTCTGGCCAATTTTTTGATTTATTGTAGAGATGAGGTCTCGCCAAGTTGCCCAGGCGGGTCTCGAACCCGCGGACTCAGGCAATCCACTCACCTCGGCCTCCCAAAGCACGGGATTACAGGCTGAGCCACCACGCCCGGCTGACCCTATCTCTTAAAAAAAAAAATACTGCAAACTAAGAAACAAGCTGAACATTGGTAGTAGATATTTGTAAAATGTATACCTGACAAAACACTAGTATATAGACTATAAAAAGAACTGTTAAAATTCAGTAATAAGAAAACAAATCACCCAGCTAAATAAATGCGCAAAAGATTGGAACAGATACTCCAACAACAACAACAATATATATAGAGTATCTTTTCCTGTGCTTATATATAGAGAGAGCATACAGTCACAGGAAAAGATACTCAGTAGTATCAGTCATTAGTGAAAGACAAACTTAAAGCCAAAATGAGGTATCACTTCACATCTACCAGATGGCTAAACTAAAATAAGACCTGACATGGTGGATCACACCTGAAATTTCTAGCACTTTGGGAAGCCAAGGCGGGAAGATTGTTTGAGTCCAGGAGTTTGTGACCAATCTAGGCAACATGTAAGACTCTGTCAGGCCGGGTGCAGTAGCTCAAGCCTGTAATCCCAGCACTTTGGGAGGTGGAAGCAAGAGGGTTGCCTGAGCCCAGGGGTTTGAGACCAGTTCTGGGCAAGTTGGCGAGACCTCATCTCTACAATAAATCAAAAAAATCAGCCAGGCGTGGTGGAGTGTGCCTGTAGTTCCAGCTACTTGGAAGGTTAAGGCAGAAGGATCACCTGAGCCCAGAAGATCGAGGTTGTGGTGGCTGTGAGCGTGTCACCACACTCCAGCCTGGGTGACAGTAAGACTCTGGTTCAAAAAAAAAGAGACCCTGTCTCTACAAGAATTCCAAAAATAAGCTGGGCGTGGAGGCGTGTGTCTATAGTCCCAGCTGCTTGGGAGGCTGAGGCAGAAGGATCGCCTGAGCCCAAGAGGTTGAAGCTGCGATGAACTGTGATTGTGCCATTATACTCCAGCCTGGGCAACAAAGTGAGACCCCCCCAACTCAAAAAATAAAAATAAATAAAAATTAAGCTTGACAATACCAAGTCTCCCACATTCTCGTGATGTCAGATGATACAGCCCTTTTTGGGGGAGTTTGGCGTCTCTCATAACGTGAAGCACACATTTACCATCTAATCCCAAATCCCACCAGCTACTCTTCATCGTCTCCTCTTTTTTTTTTTTGAGTTGGAGTCTCACTCCATCACCCAGACTGGAGTGCAGTGGCCGCTCCCGGCCACTGCAGGCTCAACCTGCTGGGCTCCGGCGATCCTTCCCCCTCAGCCTTCCAAGTAGGTGGAACTACAGGCGTGTGTTACCAGGCCCGGCTAATTTTTTGATTTATTGTAGACATGAGGTCTTGCCAAGTTGCCCAGGCGGGTCTCGAACCCGCAGGCTCAGGCAATCCACTCACCTCAGCCTCCAAAGCACTGGGATTACAGGCTGAGCCACCGAGCCCAGCTCATTGTCTCCTCTTCTAATTCTTGAGCTTCCTCCCCCACCCCGATCTTAGATTTGTAATCTGAATCCTGCTCCCATATTCTGTGGCTTTAATGGGCTTGGATCAGGATTTCTCAACTTCAGCACCATTGACGCTGGGGGAGACCCTTTGTTGTGCTGTCCCGTGTGTTACAGAATTTTGGCAGCATCCGGGTCCTCTCCCCCTGCTCCAGTGGTGACAAGTGAAAATGTTTCCAGATGTTGCCAAGTGGCCCCTGGGGAACAAAACAGCCCCAGGTTGAGAATCACCATTTTAGAAACCCTGATAAAATACCTTCAAGATCTCATCAGTGTCACTTTGTGTCCACATTGAGGGCTGCCTTGGACACGGTACACACCCTCGGACCTCGGTGCCTGCCGAAATGCCTTTCAACAGCACCATCTGTGCATCACACAATTTAAAGACCTCTTGAGCTCAGTACTGCTTTTACAAACTTGATGATTTGGTTTTCCAGGACAGAAGATTAGAAACAGCAGTTTAGAAAAGGATTTCTGCTAAAGGCACTGAAACATGATGAAATCTTATGCCACTGACAGTGGGGGGAGAGGCAAGAGAACAATAAAAGAAGAGTCACATGGGGCTACTTGGCAGAGGGGACAGGACTCACATATGTCGGTAACTCCTGAGGGCACTAATGTACCAGCATCGTTCTCCTGCTGAGTTCTGTAGGGCAGGGAGCAGGGGAATGGCATTCTTCTAGATGTCAGAGAGCCTGAGTCCCAGCCCAGCTGCGTGTCTGCCCAATACAGGGGCTGGTGAACAACAGGCACTCTAAAATACATGTTTAATTCATCGAGTCATGAAACCCCAACAAACAGCTCCGGACAACAAAAGCAAATGCCAGCAATACTGTGCCTGGCCCTTCTGCGAAAGACATAAAGACAGCAGCTCTCTGTCAGAGACATGAGCTGCAGAATTGGAGCAGGCACGTTTGCCTACACGGGACACAATCTTACTAAATGGTGAGTGTCGTGTCCTCCACAAAAAGCCAAAAAAGCAAGATGTTAAGCTTTTCCTTTCCATGAAAACTTGCTGAGGAAAACCATCCAGAGAAAAGAATTAAAAAAAAACGAAGTGCCAGCCTGGGTAACATAGCGAGATCTCATCTCTACAAAAAATTAGCCGGGTGTGGTGCTATACACCTGCAGCCCCAGCTACTTGGGAGGCTGAGGCAGGAGGATCACCTGAGCTCAGAAGGGTGGGGCTGTGGTAAGCTGTGATTGTGCCGCTGCACTCCAGCAGAGTGAGACCCCCAACTCAAAAAACAAAAACAAAACTGAGTGTGAGCAGAATCCCAAGTATCATATCCCACACACGGCCTTGGAGTTCAAGGGCAAGCTTGACACCCTTACTGGGATCCTGCTAAGGAGGTGGCTTCTCCTACCCTGCCCCTAACCTAGGCCTCTCCTCTGGAGTCTCTCTTTCCTCTTATGATTCCTTCACTCACACACACACACACACACACACACACACACACACACACACACGGTTTGGATTATATGACAGGCGGCACAGAGCCAAGGAGGGAACAGGCATCTGCTGAGCACTAATTCTGGGGCAGACACTGGGTCTAACACTCATTCAATGCTCAAAACACCTGTGTGAGGAATAGATGTTAACAGCAATGACTAAAACAGCGATCTTCCTCCTGCGACCCTTGGCCCTACGTGACCTGGCCTCTGAACCCATCTGTTTCATCTCCCCTTCCCTTCCTAAGCTTCCACCACACTGACTGTTTTCCAGTTCTTTCTCCTACCTCAGGGCCTTTGCACAAGCTGCCCCACCCTCCTGGAAGGTTCTCACATCTGACAGCATCCTTCTGGTCTCAGCTTACATGTCATACACCAAGAGGCCTTCCAGACCACTCTAAAGACAGTCTCCCTGGATCACTAGTTAACCAGACTGTTTGCTTTTGTGGCATGATGGCAACTGTTTTATTTATTTGACAGTGTACTTGCTTTTTGTTTGTCTGACTTCCCTGGAGGACAGTCCCCTGAGGATAGACTTCCCTGGAGACAGTCCCTTGAGGATAGAGAGCCTATCTGTTTCATTTGTTGCAGTATCTCAGGCACCCAGCACAGTCCACACCATGTGCAGCCCCAGCAAAGCAGCTACTGAATGGCTCACGTTGACAGAAAGCAGCTGGAACTGACAGAAAGCAGCTGGAACTCTGGGAAATGGCTTGTCCAAAGCCTAACAGATCATTGATGACAGTGGCTACACTACAAACAGACTTTCTGTGAAGATGAAACAGCGTTCTACCAGGAGAAGATGCCACCTAGGACTTACATAGCTAGAGAGGAGAAGTCAGTGCCTGGCTTCAAAGCTTCAAAGGACAGGGTGACTCTCTGGTGAGGGACTAATGCAACTGTGACTTTACACTGAAGCCAATGCTGATATGCCATTCCCCAAATCTTAGGGCCCTAAAGAATGATGCCACACCCACTCTGCCTGTGTCCTAGCAACGGACCAACAAAACCTGGATGACAGCACATCTGTTTACAGCATGGCTCACTGAACATCAGTGTGACTTGCTTTACTGAGATGCTTTTGGAAGCAACCCAGCAACGTCTCCGAGGCACACCTGTGCCCGAGGTGCCGGCTTCCCTGTCTCACACCAGTCTTGGCCCTGCTCAATCGGCCACTGGCCCTGACTCCCACAGGCAGCCACCCGAGGCCCCCCACAGGCCACAGTGATGTCTGCGAGCTGAGCTCCTAGGGCCCGTCAGGTCCGTGGTCCACCCTGGGGGGCTGCTTATCCGCCGCCCTCAGCTAGAGACAGGGAGCAGCCTGGACTGGTGTTCCCACCCTGGGGGCTGCCAGCATGCTTGTCCCCTTCCTACCACATGAGTAAGCGTCTACGAAAGAACATCCTGGTGTCACTGCTCTGTCTTGAGGCCCAGGTGCCCTTCTCCAGAGCCGACCAAGACGTCTCAGGACCACCCACCTCCTGCCACTACCCTTTCCTTCCCGACTGGGGGAGGAGAAGGAAGAGAAGGTTGAGTGTGGACAATGTGTGGTATCTGCTGACCCAGCACCCCCATCTGGTGGCAGCATCTCAGAGTCCCTGGGCCCCCATCCCTTCCCTCCTCCCTGCTCTCTTTCAGCCGAGGTGCCAAGCTGGAAGGACGCCAAGGTTGCTGCCTGAGGCCTCATGGCGAGGGCCAGCCTGTGAGCCACGCCAGCGCACAGGACTGCGGGCCATGGAAGGCAGGAAGCCGCTCCTCATGGGCAGCTTGAGTACACGGGCCAGGCGCACCTGGTGGAGCATTCAGGTGGGGTGTGCCCTGCGTTGACAATGGGAGGCTGAGCTACACTTCCATCCCTGCAACCAGGAAGGTCCTAGCGCTCCCAGACGCCCCACGGCCCCAGCAAAGTCACCTCTTTCTTCATCAGCTTGAGCTGCTCCTGGAACCTGGCATACTCCCGCTCCTGCTCCAGGCGGATCCGCTTGGCCTCCTCCCGGCGCCGCACAGCATGGTCCTGCTCCATCCTCTCCACTTGCTGCTTCTGCTGACGCTCCAGGTTCTCCAGCTCCACATCGAAGAACTTCTTCTTGGCCTGGAAGGATACATTTGGAGAGATTCAGCAGAGTCGCTTCATACCTAGACGGGAGATGGGGCGTGGAAGGGGAAGCACTCGGGGCTTGTGCTAGGACCTGGGTGTGAATCCCAGCTCTACCACCTCTCTGCTGTGTCACCAGGGACAAGTCACTTAGTCTCTTCTAATCTGCAAAAGGGAGACCAGACCGTTGACCTTGCAGGGTTGTTGCATGGAGCTCAGCAAAGGTTATCTCCCCTCCTGAGATCCTCCTGTGTGACCTTCATGCATATCTGTGTTTACAAGTCACTGCCTTATGAGATTGCGAGAGCACAGGAACTGGTAATTGCTGTGAATTACTCTCCACTGCCCAATCATCCCTACTTGGCCACTTCCACTTAAAGAAGACAGGGTCTGGCTGGGTGCAGTGGCTCATGCCTATAATCCCAGCATTTGGGGAGGCCGAGGTGAGAGGATTGCCTGAACCCACAGGTTCGAGACCAGCCCGGGCAACTTGGCGAGACCTTGTCTCTACAGTAAATCAAAACATTAGCTAGATGTGGTGGTGCATGCCTGTAGTTCCAGATACTTGGAAGGCTGAAGTGGAGCCCAGCACGTCGAGGCTGGGGTGGCCGTGAGTGTACTGCTGTACTCCAGCCTGGGTAATAGAGTGAGACGCCAACTAAAAAAAAGGAAGACAGGGCCCCAGCTTTTCTCACACTCACATTGATTTCTTGCTCAAAGCGTTTGTGCATTTGCTCCAGCTGCAACTCATGCTTGTTGCTCAGCTGGGTCTGGTTCCGATGCTCTTCCTTCTGGAGCAGTCGAAGCTCTCGGAGTTCCTGGCGCCTAGAAAGTTCGAGGAGGCAAACATTTCACGGTGAGAAAGTGGCCTCAGAGATTACAACACTCATAGCCTGGAACATGGGGCAAAAGCACACAAGTCCTGGCAGAGAAGAGTGAAGCTCCAGCTTCATGTGACATTTCTCAGGCACTGCACCCAGCCAGAATTTGGTATTTTAAATAAAGGTTTTTCTATGTAATTAAATATTTTCTAAAACTTGATTTTTGGATGACTGTATACAATTCTATCATATGGATATATTTTAATGTATTTAATTAGGTGTATATTATAGACATTTTTTCCTAATCTACTATTATAAATAACATTGTTATGAACATTCTTATTTAATAGTGTTGTGCATCTATAAATATTTCTTTAAAATTACTATCTAGCTGGGCTCAGTGGCTCAGCCTGTAATCCCACGCCTTTGGGAGGCCGAGGTGAGTGGACTGCCTAAGCCCGCGGGTTCGAGACCCGCCTGGGCAACTTGGCGAGACCTCATCTCTACAATAAATCAAAATGAGCTGGGCGTGGTAGTACGCGCCTGTAGTTCCAGCTACTTGGAAGGCTGAGGCAGAAGGATCGCCGGAGCCCAGCAGGTCGAGGCTGCGGTGGCCGGGAGCGGCCACTGCACTCCAGTCTGGGCGACAGAGTGAGACTCCAACTCAAAACAAAACAAAACAAAAATTAATATCTAGAAGTGAAACTACCATGTCAAAAGACATAAATTAACATCTGTAATCCCAGCACTTTGGGAGGCGGAGATGAGAGGACTGCCTGAGCCCAGGGGTTCGAGACTAGCCTGGGCAACTTGGCGAGACCTCATCTCTACAATAAAAATAAAGAAACTAGCCGGGCTCGGTGGCTCAGCCTGCAATCGCGCACCTTGGGAGGCTGAGGTGAGTGAATTGCCTGAGCCTGTGGGTTTGACACCTGCCTGGGCAACTTTGTGAGACCTCATCTCTACAATAAATCAAAAAACTAGCCAGGTATGGTAGTGCGTGCCTGTAGTTCCAGCTACTCGGAAGGCTGAGGCGGAAGGATCGCTGGGGCCCAGCAGGTTTAGGCTGCGGTGGCCGGGAGCGGCCACTGCACTCCAATCTGGGCGACAGAGTGAGACTCCAACTCAAAAAAAAAAAGAAAGAAAAAAACTAGCCAGGTGTGGTGGCGTGTGCCCATAGTTCAGGCTACTTAGAAGGCTGCGGCGGAAGGATCACCCGAGCCCAGTAGGTTGGGGCTGTGGTGGCCATGAGTGTGCCACTGCACTCCAGCCAGGGCGATAGAGACTCCAACTCGAAAATCATAAATAAAAATAACAAATACTGTGTGACCAGATATGGAATGATCTCTGAGTAAAAAAAAGTAAGATGCTGAAGCATGGCTCTCTTATGCTGTTCTATCATCTGGTGAAGCAAAAGATGGCAAAGTGTGTCTATGCACGTGTGTGGACATGTTCTTTACATCCCTGTTTAAACACTGAGTATTCTGGAAGGACGACACCATAAAGTATTAGCACAGGGAAGGGAATGGGATTTCTGGTAGAAAAGAAGAAAGAGAGGAAGAAAGAATTTTCACTGTTTATTTTCTTACTTTTTTGAATTTTGAACCATGATGTTACAAAGGTCGAGTATCCTTGACCCAAAATGGTTGGGACCAGAAGTGTTTTAGGTTTCATATTACTTTGGATTTTGGAATACTGGCAATTTCAGTATGCTTAATCCAAAAATGCAAAATCTGAAATGCTCCAATGAGCCTCTCCTTTTGAGCATCATCTTGGTGTTCAAAAAGTTGCAGATTTAAATGTTAAAAAAAAAAAAAGAGTTGCAGATTTTGAGGCATTTCGTATTTTGGATTTGGGATGCTCAACCTGTATTATTTATCTTAAAAATACAATAAAAAAATTTAACACTTCATCAATAAGAATACCTGAACTGAAACGAGGTGAAGTGGGGACCAAAGTGAGTTCCAAACTTAACCTGTACAATGACCATTTGTATACCTAACCCTGAGTGGTACCCCAAATCTTTTTTCTTTTTTTAAATTTTGAGTTGGAGTCTCACTTTGTCACCCAGGCTGGAGTGCAGTGTCACACTCACACCACCATAGCCTCGACCTGCTGGGCTCATACAATCCTTCTGCCTCAGCCTTCCAAGTAACTGGAACTACAGGTGCACACTACCATGTCCAGTTAATTTTTTAAAAACTGTCTTTATTGTAGAGATGAGGTCTCTCCAAGTTGCCCAGGCTGGTCTCAAACCCCTGGGCTTAAGCAACCCTCTCTCCTTGGCCTTCCAAAGTGCTGGGATTACAGGCTTGAGCCACCACGCCCAGTAGTACCCCACACCTTTAAAATAAAAAAATTATAATAATAATTTTTTAAAAATTTGACCTGAGCCACACAATGTGCCTTAATCTGATAATATGTCTATTGTTATTGTATGTGTGTGCTCACAGAGAAAATACTGGTGAAATAAACCCCAAAGTGTCAAGTGTATTTCTTCCTGGGTAAGTACATTAAAAATTGATATGGGGCTGGGCTCGGTGGCTCAGCCTGTAATCCCAGCGCTTTGGGAGGCTGAGGTGAGTGGACTGCCTGAGCCCGTGGGTTCGAGACCCGCCTGGGCAACTTGGCGAGACCTCATCTCTACAATAAATCAAAAAACTAGCCGGGCTTGGTAGCGCGTGCCTGTAGTTCCAGCTACTTGGAAGGCTGAGGTGGAAGGATTGCCGGAGCCCAGCATGTTGAGGCTGCGGTGGCCGGGAGCGTGCCACTGCACTCCAGTCTGGGCGACAGAGCGAGACTCCAACTCAAAAAAAATAAAAAATAAAAATAAAGGCAAAACCCTTTAAAAAAAAATTGATATGGGCCGGGTTTGGTAGCTCAGCCTGTAATCCCAGTACTTTGGGAGGCTGAGGCAAGTGGATTGCCTGAACCTGCGGGTTCGAGACCAGGCCAGGCAACTTGGCGAAACCTTGTCTCTACAATCAAAAATTAGCCAGTGTGGTAGCATGCACCTGCAGTTCCGGCTACTTGGAAGGCTGAGGCAGAAGGACTGCCAGAGGCCAGCAAGTTGATGCTGGGGTGGTGGTGAGCGTGCCACTGCACTCCAGCCTGGGCGATGGAGTTGAGACTCCAGCTCAAAAAAAAAAATAAGAATGATTCATATAATCAGAAAAAAGATTAAAAAATTAAAATGCTACAGAAAGAACTGAGGGCCGGGCACAGTGGCTCATACCTTTAATCTCAGCACTTTGGGAGGTCAAGGAAGGAAGACTGCTTGAGCCTGGGAGTTCAAGACCAGCTTAGTCAACCAAAGCAAGACCTCATCTCCACACACACACAAAAAAATTATCCCGGTGTGGTGGCACACACCTCTAGTCCCAGTTACTCAGAATGCTGAGACAGAAGGATCACCTGAGTCCAGGAAGTCAAGGCTGCAGTGAGCCTTGATTATGCTGCTGCATTCTAGCCTGGATGACAGAGTGAGACCCAGACTCAAAAAAAGGCCTTGGGCCTTCTGACTGTGAATTAAAGCCTCCCTGGTGGCCTCTGGGGACTAGGTCCCTAGGCCCACACCCTAGTCTAGTCTAGCATTCCCCCTCTGCACCATGGTGATTCCCACTGAACCACACCCCAACCCTAGCAGTCTTCCTCATGGCTCAGAGGGGCCACAACTGCTCACAGAACTGCTGCCCACAGTGGTACAAGGAGGAGCCAGTGGTGTAGTGTGGCTGAGCATATTCTCTAGGGTCAGAGGGACCTGTCTGAATCTTAGCTATGTTTGCTTTCCAGCTGGGTATCCTCTCTTCCCTCCTCTGTAAAATGAGGCAAATAATCACCTCTCGGGGTTTTTTGAGGGATAAGTGAGATGACACAGGTAAGGCAATGGCACATGACAAACACTCTGTAAGTGCCAAATGCTCGAATTATAATGAGGAAGAAGCAATGGCTACCCACGTGTCTGGGAAAAGTCAGAGACACATTTTTTTTTTTGCCCTTAGACAAGGGTCAAAGACTTTATTAATAGATGTCAATTGGATTTTCAGATGGTAGCAGTCATTAAGGTCTGGTGATGAGTGTGGTTTTAGAAAATAAGGAAGAGGGAGGGCATGGTGGTTCATGCCTATAAACCCAGCACTTTGGGAGGCTGAGGTGAGAGGATTACCTGAGCCCACGGGTTGCAGACCAGCCTGGGCAACTTGGCGAGACCTCATCTCTACAATAAACCAAAAAATTAGACAGGCATGGTGGTGTGTGCCTGTAGTTTCAACTACTTGAAAGGCTGAGGCAGAAGGATTGCCTGAACCCAAGAGGTCGAGGTTGTGGTGGCCGTGAGCATGCCACTGCACTCCAGCCTGGGTGACAGAGTGAGACTCGATTAAAAAAAAAAAAGAAAAAGAAAGAAAATATGTAAGAGGACAGGTGTAGGGCAGGCAGACTAAGAGACTGAGGTCATCACCAGCTCAGCCCTGCAGAGGTACTTCCTATAGTCACATAAGAAAGCTTCTGTCTGAGTGTGTTTTCTGGAAAGAGGAAGGAAGGAGGTGATTTTCTGGAGAGTGTTAACAAAGAAAAAGAAATCCTGACTCAAGAGAAACCAAGGTTTAGAGAACAACCAGCAAAAAACCAAGATACACAGAAAGCAGGCAGGCAGCCAGGCTCTGGCATCACCTCCTAATGCCTGAGGGCTCACGAAGGAGGAGGCAGAGATGGGTGAGAGCTTAGGAAGGAAGGACAAAGTGGTTTTAGGGAAAACAGCAGGAACTCTGTCCAGAGCCTCCTCAGTCAGGGAGAGTAATCAGGTTCAGTCGCATAGGATCCAGGTATGACCAGGTCACTCCATACTCCCAGTCTGGCGGCCTGGCCTGGCTTACAGGATGCTCAGACCACGGAGGACCCACAGTGCTGGTCTTTCCAGAGCACGCCCTCTGTACCTCCTTGGTCGCACTCTGTGAGTCTAGGCAGCACACTACTTCTCTGCTTAGGAGGAGGCAGGGACCTGGTGCCAGGGCCAGAGGGTTTGCTTCTCAGTGGGGTGTGGCAAATCTGGAACTTCAACTCGAAAAACCTCAACTGCCCCGAGGAGAGGTGATGAAAACTCAGCCCTCCAGGCTGAAAACTGAAGAGTCTGGGGCACCTCCCAGGCTCTGAGACTCCGAGGCTCCCTGACAGCTAAGCCCCTACCCCACCAGCAGCTCCCAGGAAGCCACTCAGTCCTCGAAGCCTGAGGGAATTCTCACTCAGAGCTGGCTAGAATCTTCACCCTACCTGCCCAACCCAAAGAGGGACCGTGAAGGTGGGGCCAAGCAACTAAAAGTGCAAGGATGGGTCCTGGCAAACAGCCCTGTCTCTCCTTCCATCCAGCCGAGTCTACAAGGGACATTGAATCTAACCACATTTTCCTTCCTCCCGGCCACTGCCCCAGGCTGCACCTCACACCTGGCCATCCTGGACAGGGCCTCCCTGTTCCCCATACCAGGCCCTTAAGCCGTACGGTCACTCCTCAGGGCCCCAGCCATTGCAATTCCCTCTGTGCTCCCCCAGCTCCGCATGTGGCCAGACCTCCACCCTGCAGGCTCAGCTCTCCATCATACCACCCATTACCTGTTACTTCCTTTACACGTTTGCCACAGCCAGGGATGACCATGTGTACTGTGTGCTGGTCTACCAGCTATAAGTCCTATAGGGGCAACAACCTCCTATCTATCTGGGTCACCATCCTGTCCTCCCTCTGGTGGATTGACGGACACATGGGTAGATGAATGGTTAGGTGGATGAGTGGGGAGATGAATGGGCGGGTGGATGGGTGGGCAGATGGGGGAGGGGTGAGTAGGCGGATGGGTGGATGGGTGGATGGGTGGATGGATGAATGGGAGGGTGGATAGGTGACTGGGTGGATAACAGGACAGGCAGATAGATGAGTAGGGGATGAATGCATGGGTGGATAAATGGATGGAAGGTGAGTGGGTAGATGGACGGGAGGATGGGGATTGGATAAATGGGTAAATAGATTACACAGGTAGCCAGGCCTGGTGGCTCATGCCTGAAATCCCAGCACTCTGGGAGGCAGAGGCGAGAGGACTGCCTGAGCCCAGGGGTTCAAGACCAGTTGGGCAACTTGGCAAGACCTAGTCTCTACAATAAGTCAAAAAATTAGCCAGGTGTGGTGGCACGTGTCTATAGTATCAGTTACTTGGAAGGCTGCAGTAGAAGGATCGCCTGAGCCCAGCAGGTTGAGGCTGTAGTAGCCATGAGTGTGCCACCGTACTCCAGCCTGAGCAACAGAGTGAGAGACTCCGGCTCAAAAACAAAACAAAACAAAACAAGATTATATAGGTAGACAAATGGGTAGGTGGGTTGATGGATGGGTAAATAAGTGAAAGGAGGGGGTGAATGAGTGACTGGGTGGATAAATGGGTGAACAGATTATATAGGTAGACAGATGAGTAGGTGGGTCAATGGTGGGTGATTAAATGAATGTAAGTGTAGATGAATTGATGGGTGGCTGGGTGGGGATGGGTAGATGAACAGGTGGATGGGTGGGGAATGATGGGTGGATAAGTGGAATGAATGGGTAGATGGACAACAGATGGGTGGTTAGGTGGATGAATGGGCATGCAGGATCTCAGAAAACCAGTTGCTACTTGTCTTCTTGACACCCCCACTCAGCTGTAGACAGAGAGCATCTCACCAAAGGGACAATGCCCAGGCCTCTTACCATACCCAGGCCTGTGCCCATCATAGGTGCCCTTTGCAGGCTTACCTGAGAAATCTCATCTCCTCATCCTTCTTCTCGTCCTCGCTGATGATCTTGGAGGTGGTTATGCTCACCTCCACGCCATCCACCACGAATCTGCGTGTCCGCTTGAGGGTTTTATTGTGCAGCCTCGAGTCCTGGCCAGGGAAGAACATCAGGCAAAGCTCAGCGAAGGATCTGTGGCTGGACAGGGGGTGATACCTCTTTCCCCACCCAGGGAGGGCATGGCCACCCCTCATCCCTCTTGCTGCAACTTCTTAGCCTGGGAGCCCAAGTGTCTCAGCTCATCCCATGCCTTTCCCCGATCTCGGCCTTCAGACGCTGCCCAAGGCCTCCCCCAGCTGGCTCCCAGCACTCCACACAGGATGGGTGGCACAAAGGGCTGGGCGTGGTGGCTCATGCCTGTAATTCCAGGACTTTGAGAGGCCAAGGCAAGAGGATTGCTTGATCCCAGAAGTTCTAGCCCAGTCTGGGCAACATGGCAAGACCTCGCCTCTACAAATTAAAAAAAAAAAAAATCAGCCAGATGTGGTGATGTACACCTGTACTCCCAGCTACTTTGGAGGCTGAGGCAGAGGAACGTGTGAGCCCAGAAGATTGAGGCTGCAGTAGCCATGATTGTGCCACGGCACTCCAGCCCGGGTGACAGAGGAGATTCTGACTCAGAAAAAAAAAAAGGACTGGGTTCTCATCCTTACCCTATCCCTCCTGGCTCTGTTACTCTGGACCAGTCTCTTGTTCTGTCTGAGCCTTAACTGAGGATAACACGACCTGCCTCCCAGGGTGGTCATGAGGATTCAGTGAGAGAATTCATGGGAGGCACAAAGCAGTGCCCGAGCACAGCATTTGTTCCGGTGTGGAACTAATTTTCGATAGTTATCACTGCAGACCACATGTAACCCCTTGGCCACAGGGCCAAGATGCCACACACACAGAGCCCTGAAAACCACGGGTCATTCTCCTAACTGATGTGGCAGGTAATACTGATCTGACCTGAACCCTGCTGGCAGCCCCACCTGCCAGGAGCCGCTGGGGGATTATTCGTAACCTGTTTTTTTTTGGAGTCTTACTCTGTCACCCAGACAGGAGTGCAGTGGCCGCTCCCGGCCACCACAGCCTCGACCTGCTGGGCTCCGGCAATCCTTCCGCCTCAGCCTTCCAAGTAGCTGGAACTTCAGGCACGCGCTACCACACCTGGCTAATTTTTTTGATTTATTGTAGAGATGAGGTCTCGCCAAGTTGCCCAGGCGGGTCTCGAACCCGCGGGCTCAGGCAATCCACTCACATCAGCCTCCCAAAGCGTGGGATTACAGGTTGAGCCACCGAGTCCGGCTTGTAACCTGTATCTTTAACTGAATAATTGCGGTTCACATGTGATGGCCCACAGAGTGCTGTCCAGGCTCGTGGGGTATTATGGGATTGGAACACATGGACCTCTTTGGAAAGTCAAGGCTGATCCAGACGAGGGCCTGGGGGCCTGCACTGGGGTCCTCATGGCTCTCCCCCTCTGCCCTGTACCTCAGGCCTCTTAGCTGAATTTGAAGGCTCTTCCTGACTCAGCTCAGTCCTGCCTTCCGCATGGCACCCTAGGGACCCCCCAGCCCCTGGGAGAGGTGTGAGGGGCCGGGATGGCTCTGGGCAGCAGGCATCGAAGCCCTAAAAGTTGGGCTATGCCCCACCCCTGCTGATCGAGACCTGCAGACAGCCCTTGTCCCCCAGGGCTGAGTTCCTCTCTCCCACCAAAACCCCTCACCCAGGGGCTCTGGACAGCATTGGCATAGACCCACCACGCCCAACTCTCATCTCTCTAGTGTCCAGCTCACACACAGTGGATTCAAATCAAGATACACCAGACCAGCAGTGAGAAGCAGCGGCTGGCAGGGGTAAGAGAGAGGGGAGAAAGAAAGTCCCTGGCCACAGTCTTCCCACAGAACTGCTCCAGGCTTCGGGGCCTCTGTTCCTGAAGGGACAGACCCCTAGTCATGACACTGACATGGCTGGTGGACTCTGACTCACGGCAGCCCCTGGGAATGTTCTCTACCCTTGAGAAGAGGCGGAGGGTCCTACTCTCAGTGGGTCTGCTTAAAACAATAACCAGGTTGAGCATGGTGGCTCATGCCTATAATCCCAATGCTTTGGAAGGCTGTGGTGGGAGGATTGCTTGAGCCCAGGAATTTAAGACCAGCCTGGGCAACGTGAGACCTCATCTCTGGAAAAAGAAAAGCCAGGTAGCACACACCTGTAGTCCCAGCTACTCAGGAGGCTGAGGCAGAAGGACCGCCTGACCCCAGGAGGTGGAGACTGTGGTGAGCAGTGATTATGCCACAGCATGCCAGTCTGGGCAACAGAGGGAGATCCTGACTCAAAATAAAGAAATGAATAATAAGACAAAGTCTCCCTTTTTTTTGTCCCACGTAGTGTCTTTTTAGTAAGAGAAGGGACAGGGCGCCTGCCCCAAGGACGATGACAGTTATACGGAAAAGCTGCTGCCTACACTGGTCCTGGAGACCTGATGTAATCGTTCTTTCTTTCGGGTCCCAAAGCCAATGCCAGGGCCAGCTGCTGCTGCTTCTCTTCTTCCCTCTTTTTCCTTTAGCTCATATCTTCTGTGTGTTTTTCATCAAGAAAATGTGGGAAGGAAAAAACAAAAAGAGACAGTACCTGCCCTAAAATCAGACTTGGTCAGATGTCCAACAGCAAACTGAATAACACCCTGGAGGTAAGGGGCAGGCAGGAAAAAGAGGTAGCTCTTCCGGCCACCAAGGGGAAGTCTGTAGCTGCCCTGGGAATGCTCAGAGCTCCCAGCTGGGGTCTGACCATTGCCTCGCTCCGCCCTGCTGAGCCCTGGGCCAGCTCCTGACCTCCCTGAGCTTCCACCCGTTCAAGTGTGAACTGAGAAGGTGAAGAAACCTAAGTTCTTTCTTTTTTTTGAGTTGGAGTCTCACTCTGTGGCCCAGACTGGAGTGCAGTGGCAGGCTCACAGCCACCGCAGCTGGGCTCAGGCGTTCCTTCTGCCTCAGCCTTTTGAGTAGCTGGGACTACAGGCACACACCACCACACCCGGCTAATTTTTTGATTTATTGTAAAGACGAGGCCTTGCCAAGTTGCCTGGGCTGGTCTCGAACCCCTGGACTCACGCAATCCTCCCACTTCCACCTCCGCCTCCCAGAGTGCTGGGATTATAGGTGTGAGCAACTGTACCCGGCTTCTGGGTTCTTTTTTATAGCACTCTGCACAGTGCTTGCACTCACGCCAAGCCCTCATGCCTGGTGGCGACTGTCATTCAGCCCCAGAAAGGCGCCCTCCCCTGAGCCAGGGATGACAGCTTTGAGCCCACTTCCTTTCACTGAAGCTACCAGTCATCATGGGCTGACGCCCAAGTGAGAGAACTTTTGCTTCTAGAGTTTTCTCTCCCAAATTTTACCTTTTGCCAAACTTTGAAATTTAAACTCAAACCAACTGTGTGTTGTTCCCAAGTCCCATACCGAACCTAGATATTCTGGAGATTTAACTGTGAATCAAACTAATAGCTCCTTAAGGGAAGGGTGATCTCCATGAACCACTTTAAATGCAAGACAGCCCCTACATGCTTTCGAAGCCAACATGGAGCCACAAGACACCTGCTATATCTCTGCAACAAACCTGTGGGGAGAGACAGCATTACCTTGATAGACAGAGAACCCGTCTCTCTGTTCAGGGACAGGTCGGCAGACAGGGAGGTGCTGTAGTCCATGCTCTCAGAGGTGGAGACGCTGCCACAGTCCGAGTCCCTCTGAGAAGGGTTTGGAGATGCCTGGGCAGGAGGCTCCAGGCTGCCGTTGGCCAGCTTCTCACCACCCAAGGTCTCCAGGGCACTGCTGTTGGGCCGGCTCTGACTTGTCTTTTGGGACCTGTTGACTGCTGGACTGAGGTCCACACCCTGGTCAGGGACTTGCTTCTCCTCGGAGACCTGAATCCTGGCATCCATTGACATGGGTCGGGACTTCCGGAGGGGTCCGGGCACCACTAGGCCATTCTCATTTCCAGGGACCATGTCTAGGGAGCTGGGGGGCTGGAGGGATCTGGCTTCAGAGGGCTGGCTGCAGGGCCCATTCACACTGTCCCGAGGCTGGCTGGGCGCTGGCAGAGTGGGAGATGATTCCTTCAGAAGCTTGTCGGCATTGAGGCTAGGCTGACTGACCTCCGAAGAGTCCTGAGTGTGGTTCCCCATGGGCTTTGGAGGAAAAAGCGGGGGGTGGGGGGGTGGGATGCTGTTATATTTCCAGTGCAAGAGTGAGAGACACAGGGGGTTAAAAAGTCAGACACACACACAAAGAGAATGGGCCAGGGCCGGAGAGTAGAACAGATGTCACTCTAAGCCCCACAGTCCTCATCACTTCCTACTACATAACCAATAACCAAACTGCTACTTATTTTGAGGAATAGGAATCTCCTGACTCTCTCTAATCACAAGCTGCATTTAAAAGCTGTTATTCCTCCTAGGAAGCCCATGTGGTCAGCTGGACAGCTCATGTCGCATATGAAGGGGCCAGCAGCGACTCTGCACCAACCAATTGTGACAATATAGGAAGGTGGCCACCCTATGGTCAGGTCTTCCAATTTTTCAAGTTGGAATTTCACATTTAAAAAAAAAAATCTAGATTTTTACATGACATCCCTTGACTTTTAAACAGCAACTAACTCAATTAAAAAAAAAAATCATATAAAAGCCCAACCAGACCTTGCCGAGGGGCTTCATTCAGCCTTGCGGCCACTGAGCTTTAAACTTTGCTTTTCAGAATTTTTGTGGGGTGGAAAGTACTGGAAAGGCTGCTGTGGTGAAACAGAACATCATTTCTGTGGATGACATCCATGTTCGGCTTAACGAGTAAAGTGAGTGCCCCCGTAGCCGGCCACCTTCCAGCAGGAGGGGACATTGCCACATCCCACAGGGCTATGCCTACCCCTTCCTTCCTAACAGCACTCTCCTCCCTCCCCTTGACACAGTCACTGTCCTACAATTGTCTGTAAATTTGAGATAATGGAATCACACAACCAGCCTTCATCTGGGTCCCACCAGCCACTGGTGTGTGGCCTTGGATACATCAGCTAGTGCAAGCAACTCCAGCCTACCTTTTATCCAGTGCCCAGAGTGATGACTCAAAAATTCGGGCTTAAGTCTATCACCTCCACATCAACACCCAGCCCCTGACTGAAACCCTCCATGGCTCCCACTGCCCTCAGAATGACCAGCCTCTTGCCTGTAGAGAATGAGGCCAGGTGTGGCCACTTTCTGCCTCCTCCTGGAGCCAGGCCCAAACAGAGGTTCTTAGACCTCTGTGTTTCCATTCCTCAGCAGGGGCTCCAGGAATGGCCGGGGTAACTGTGCTGTTCTACCCGCCCGGCTGTCCCTGGGATTTTTCTTCTTCCTCCCTGCAAAGTTTGCATCAGCCTCAAGCTCCTACCAGGACTGAATTCAGCTTGAGAAAGCCACCATATCGTCCACAGCACAAGGACGTGGCCTGCTCCATCCCCTGACGGACAAGCCCCGCCCCTGCCTCACTGGACAGCCAGTCTCCCCCAGAAGAGGCCTCTCCAGGCAGTGAGAGCAGGGATTGGACAGAATCCAGCCCACAGACATATTTCCTTGGTCAGATGGATCTCACAAATTTAAATTTGCTTTAATTTCGATTCAAACCCAGCAAGTGCTGAAGCTGCAAATGGGCTCCAAACGTGCCCAGACGCAGGTTCCCGGGGAGATGGGGTCCAGGAAGGCTGGAGCCCCAGAGACCAGATAGAGCCTCCCCTGCTCACTTCAAGGTGCACTAAAACCCACCCCATGTAGGTGAGCAACAACAGGAACAAAGGTGGCAAGCAAGGGGTCAGTTACCAGCTTTTAAAGATAGGGAGATTCCATGTGAGAGCCTAGATCTCACAGGACATGGCCAACATCCCCTGCCGCCTCGCCCTGGCCCAGGTGCCTCTTACGTACCCAGCAGCGTGGGCATCCGTAACCCCTGAGCCGGGAGACGCAGAATGGAATGCTGCCTGAGCCCAGGGCCCTCCCACCCCACCGGGGCCTGCTGGGATTCTGCCTGCCCCCAGCCCTACTCTTCTGGCCTTACAGAGGCAGCGTCCACGGTGTCCTCCTCGTCCCCCTCGTCCCGGCCATCTTCAATCTCCTCCATCACCTCGGCCTTGGCCTCGGCCACTAGCTCCCGCAGAGCCTTGTTACTGGTGATGCTGCTGACAAAGGGGTGCTGAGGGGACAAGATACATCTGGATTAGAACCGCTCTGGGGTCAGGGTGGGCTGGAAGAGGCCAGGGGAGCTGTCCCCCCAGGGCAGAGAGGGCTAGCCTCATTCCCGAACTTGAACTTAGTGAGGGAGACCCAGAGGCAGCTCAGCTCTGTGTGGGGTCGAAAGAGAGCAAACCCCAGCTCTGCTGCTCACTGACTGTGTGACCCTGAACATGTCACTTAACCTCTCTGGGCTGCAGGATCCACATCGCTGAAGTGGAGACAATAACACTGAACCCACAGGGAGGCCATGAGGATTAAACAGGATAATGCACGTAAAAATGCTTAGCTCAAAGCAGGGGCTCAAGTCATGTTTGGGAGGTTTATTTGTTTATTATCCCTTTTAAAAGGTTTTACTATACAGCTTTATAAAATACAATACATATGTATTTTATTGAGAAATAACTTTTTAAAATTTACTTATTGTTTTAAAGACAGGGTCTTGCTCTGTTGCCCAGGCTAGAATACAGTGGCATGATCATAGCTCACTGCAGCCTTGAACGCCTGGGCTCAAACAATCCTCCCACCTCAGCCTCCCTAGTCACTGGAACTACAGGTGTACCCCTGGCCAATTTTAAAAAATTTTTTGGTAGAGTCAGGGGTTTCACTATGTTGCCCAGGCTGGTCTTGATCTCTTGGCCTCATGTGACCTTCCTGCCTTGGCCTCCCAAAGCACTGGGATCACAGGTATGAGTCACTGCACCCTGCCAGGAATAACTTTCTTTCTTTTTTTTTTGGAGTTGGAGTCTCACTGTGTTGCCCATGCTGGAGTACAGTGGCACACTAACAGTCACTGCAGCCTCCACCTGCTGGGCTCCAGCGATCCTTCCTCCTCAGCCTTCCAAGTAGCTGGAACTACAGGCGCACGCTACCACACCCAGCTAATTTTTTGATTTATTGTAGAGATGAGGTCTCACCATGTTGCTCAGGCGGGTCTTGAACCCGCGGGCTCAGGCAATCCTTTCACCCTGGCCTTCCAAAGTGCTGGAATTACAGACTTGAGCCACCGTGCCCGGCCATGCCAGGAATAACTTTCATACAGTAAAGTTCACAAACTGTTAAGTTTAATGACCTTTTACATATATACATGCACTAGTATAACCACCGCCCAGTTGAAGTTTCTATCACTGGGAAAAGTCACTGTCTATCACTGTGGGATTCAGCGACATTGCCACACATGTTGGTCAGGCATCTTTCCCTCCTGTGTAAGTGCCACTGCGCAAACATGTCCATTTGTGTATCCATTCCACCACTGCTGGACATCTGTTCCTTCCCATTTTTGGCAACTATGAAAAAGCTGATACGAGACATTCTCGTCTATGTCTTCGGGTGGACATATGTGTTTGGTTTTAAGAAAGGAAACACAGAATCTTGAGGCAGAGTGGCGTATGTTCTATTCTGGACTTTACAGAAATGCCATAGCCTTTGAGAGTGAATGCTCTTCGGCAGACCTTGCAAAACACCAAAGCCAAAGATCTCATATGAAATCAGCAGGAGGCCAGTCCTGGGCGTCCTGCCCCGGCACCAAGATGTGGCCAGGGATGAGGGATCCCTCCATGCACCACTCACCCAGGGCCACCGGGAAAGGGGGTCCCATCATGGCATTGGAATTTATAGGGCTTGGGCTAGGCGTGGTGGCTCACCCCTGTTATCCTAGCACTTTGAGAGGCCGATGTGAGAGGATTGCCTGAGCCCCCGGGTTTGAGATCAGACCAGGCAACTTGCTGAGGCCTCGTCTCTGCAATAAATCAAAAAATTAGCCAGGCGTGGTGGCTCATGCCTGTGGTTTCAGCTACTTGGAAGGCTGAGGTGGAAGGATCACATGAGCCCAGCAGGTCGAGGCTGTGGTGGCCATGAATGTGCCACTGCACTCCAGTCTGGGTGACAGAGTGAGACTCCGACTCAAAAAAAAACAACAAAAAGGAAATTTACAGAAAAGTGCTGGCAAAATTCACTATTTTTCACTAACAGAAAATTTATCTGCAGAGAAACTATGTCAACAAGATTGCCAGGAAAAGACTTAAATAAATTTCTACCACCTCGAACACACTTTCAGAACTGGCATGTCCACTGCAAATCATCCTTATCTGCTTGTTCGTTTACTTATTTATTTATTTGAGTCGGAGTCTCACTCTGTCACCCAGGCCGGAGTGCAGTGGCACGCTCACAGCCACTGCAGCCTCCACCTGCTGGGTTCAGGTGATCCTTCCACCTCAGCCTTCCAAGTAGCTGCTCCAGACATATGCCACTACGTCCAGCTAATTTTTTGATTTATTGTAGAGACGAGGTCTCGCCAAGTTGTCCAGAGTGGTCTTGAACCAGTGGGCTCAGGCAATCCTCTCACCTCCATCTCCCAAAGTGCTGGGATTACAGGCATGAGCTACCGCACCCGGCTTTGCTTGTTCATTTAAAACAATTCATTTCTACAACCAGTGGAATGGTTCACACCTGTAATCCCAGCACTTCTGGATGCCAAGGCGGGAGAATTACTTGAGCCCGGGAGTCTGAAACCAGCCTGGGCAACATATTGAGATCTCAACTCTATAAGAAAAAAATCAAAATATTAGCCAAGCATGGTGATGCTTGCCTATAGTCCCAGCTACTTGGGAGACTATGGTAAGAGCATCACCTGAGCCCAGGAGGTTGAGGCTGCAAGTGATCCATGATTGTGCCACCGCACTCCAGCCTGGGTGACAGATTGAGATCTCAATTAAAAAAAAAAAAAAAATCCAGTTCACCTGTGGACACATACCTGGCAACACCCTCTCCGACTTGTTCACATGATTTCATACATCTGGAGGCCAGGTGCCTTGCTCTCTCAGAGTGCCTGTCATCCCAATTTTCCCAAGCTCGTCTGGCCTTCTCTAATGAGTTCCAACTAATGACAATTTAAGCATTTAATTCTTTCTTTCCACTTCCCATTCACCCGCGGATTCATTCTGCAATCACAGTGAGGCCAGAGGCATGCCAGGTGTGGAGATGCAGCTGGATAGTCAGGCAGTCCCTGCCCCCGGGGCTTATAGCTGAGTTGGAGAGACAGGAGTTAAGCACGAAGTGGCAAACAAACCAATGCCAGATCCTGTGAGCAGGACACCACTGAGGGTGGTGGAGACTGAAGTCTGTGATCAGAGGGGCCTCCCTGGGGAGGCCACATTCAAGCTGAAACCTGAGGGATGGAAGGGCCCTCAGGGAAAGAGCTGGACACAGAGAACTCCAGGCAGAGCGAGCAGCCAGTGCAAAGGCCCTGCGATGGCACGGAGCTTGGTGTGCCGGCAGGGCCGTGAAGGGCAGGGTGGTGGGACACGCAGGACGGGAGAGGGGAGGAGCAGAGAGGAGGGCCGGGCGGGTGCAGGCAAGCACGCAGCTGACACTTCTCAGAAGCCACTGGGGGGGCACAGCACTGCAGTGACATAGCGGGTACCCTTTAAAGACGCATTCCAGCTTCTCTGGGGCTTCAAAAGGTCTTGAGTGAGGCGTTAATAAGGGTTTACTAGTCGTGGCAGCCATGATAGTATAGGAGTTCAGACTGCGGGCTATAGATGCTGGGGCCACGCTGCCTGGTAAAATCCTGCTTCCACTGCCAACTTGGGCGAGTCATGTACACCCCTGAGCCTCAGTCTGCTCATCTGTAGCTTAATTATAGCTTTAATAACTTGTAGCTTTAATTATAAACTAGGACTAATAGTGTGGCCGCTTTAAGCATTCCCACTCTCCGCTGCATGCCCATCTGTGCTCTGGCACAGCCTTTTGGAACCGAGGGAGAGAACCAAGATCCCAATGGTTCCTGAGCCCCACATGGCGCATGGAACTTGAACAAAATGCCCCGGGAACATCACTGCAGTGACTGAAGGAGGTGCGGCAGAAATAAACACAGGCCCTGGCTTCTGGAGATGCCAGGTTTTCTCTCCACTTATTGACCACTTTAGTGGCTTTTCAGCATGGCCAGGAACCTTGTATTCCTGGGGCAGAACCATCTGCTTCACAGCCCTGCCTGAGCAACCCAGGGTCCTTAGGAGGCAGGGCCACAGGAAGAACGCCTGTGATGGGGGACAGGGAGAGGGCAGTTCCCCAGACGCTGGGGCAGTCAGGGTTGGCAGACGGGGCAGCCCCTCTTGTGGCTGACTGGGCACAACCACTCCAGAACGTGGCATAGACCACCTCTGCCATGGCGTCAGCCCTGCCACTTCCAGGGGTGAGCCTAGTGAGGGATCTTCCTCCAAACCCAGTCTGCCAAGCCCGTGACAGAGATAAAGCCTGAACTGTGCTGCAAGAGAAGGTGTGGAACCTCTTGAGGGCCAGACGCTGGCCAGACATGTGTGCCCGTGCCAGGCAGGTGGGTCTGGGCACATGGGTCCCAGTGGAAGGCCAGATCAGAAAGGAACTCACCCACCTAGTCCCTCAGGAAGAGGCTTGGCTATCTAGTCCCATCTCTACTGAGAGCCCGAGATGCCAAGATGGGTGTCATCACACAGCCTGCCACCAGCACTCACCCTCAGCCAGGGCCTCTTCTGCCCGCTAAACAGACATCCTTCTAAGGACGCGAGCCCACTCCTCTCTATGCTTAGGAACCCTCCCAGGGGTCCCACACTCCAGGGCTGGCCTTAGAAAAATGCCTGAGAATGCTTTCAAGTTTCCAGGCTGTAACTAAAAATTTCAGCCTTAAACTGTGTTCTCTAGAGTCTTCTTCAGCTTCGAAACTGCCTTCAAACATTTGGTCCTTCCCCTCTCCCTTCAGGCCCTCCCATACACGGGGATGCTTACCTAGCTCTATGCTTTCTTAGATACTCCAAGGGCTCATCTTAAAGCAAGCCAGACACAAAGCCTGTGGAACTCTCCTAGGTCAACCAGGCCTCCAAGAACTCTGGAGGCGAAGCTTAGAACAAACCAGGCCTGAGCTCCAATGCAGGGCCCTCCAACCCGAGGGATTTGTGGAAGACTGATCCATCACCAGGCCACAGCCAA